GGTCCTGGCCCCATCACAGACTCACCAGCTGGGATAGACAGCCTCACATGTGCACACACGCACACGCACACACACACTCTGTACACACCATCCTTCAGGCTGCGGTGCAACCTAAAACATGAGGTCAAAATGCACCATGGGGCGTTGGATCTTTCTATAGACCTGTCTTACTGACACAGTTTAACACAGCGGTGTACAGGCCATTGGGACAAATCCCAATGGGCTGCTGCCTCGGTGGGTCGGTGGGCCATCAAAAAAATCCATACAGTTTTTACCAGCCCTGTCTGTCTCTTTACCGGCCCTCTGTTTGCGCCTCTCTTTTTGGTTGCGTATGAAAGCGTGGTGTGTGCTCTGTGACTGGGCTCATTGACATATGTAATCAATCCTCACCCGCAGCCGTGTGATCCTTTGTGCTGTTTTATCTGTCCATCCGGTCGTAATGAAAATACTAAATTCAAGGATGACACTGACCCAGAAACAGAGGTGCAATATCCAGTCAGCTTATTCAGTTTAGAAGTTCACCCTCAGCATCAGTGACATCACCCTGAAGACACACTCAAGTTCTGTACTCACAGAATATTTGTTTTCTACCATGGAGTTGGAGGATGAGGCTAGTTCATTGTCAGTGGGAAGAAAATAAATCATTTAATGACAAAAAGTAGCTCTTTGATGTTCTTTGAAAAAACTGAGCAAAATTAAAATATCCATGACAATAGTGCCAGGATGACCACACCATACATCAAAGGTGGCTGTTTTCTGGTCTTTATTGGGTGTAAAGTAACCTAATATTTTAGTAAAGCACAGATATAAGACTATACTTCATGTACATATTCCTATAGATAATATGTATAAAATAAAGAAAATTGTACATAGTGACAAAGGAATCCAAATGCAAATGATATTACAAAACCTGATCATTTGCTTGGATGCTTGTTGGACGTTTATTCCCAGGATTCATCCTGGCGATGTCCCATAAAAAGGCAACTTTTTCAGAATGAAGCAACATAAAACACAGTATTGGTGCATAATGTGCCTGTACTGTAACTGAGCTGTTCTGTACAGTGCATTACACAGGATAATGTACACATAAACCTGAAAATCACATACTGTCATTATGTCTGTGTGGCTAAATCACTCAAAATGTCAGTGCTGCTGCTTCATAAAATGCAGCGTGCTTACAGATTGCTCTCTGTTTCGCTTCCAGCTGTGGAGGAGGTATTCATGTCAGATTTTGTCAAAAATTCATCTTTCATCCAGGAATTATTCTATTTGGGTTGTCTGAGGCTGAAGCGAGAAAGAGATGTAGTTGGTGTAGGCTGCCAAGTCGTGCAGTTCTGTTTCTCCTGTAAGGAACAAGGCGTCACGAATCGGAGGAGGAGGAGTTATGGCATCCCCACATATCACAAACTTTTTGGCACAACTTCACTTCATCTTTCAGCTTTGGGGATCTTTCGGCAGATGGTGGTATACAGTATACGACAAGGCAGTTATAGTTACTCTTGCCCTGCATAGGCACCATTTTCTACAGAAACAAAGACAAAATACAGACATCAGTTGGCCACCAGCAGCAAAGTTAATGGAACACACAAGCCTACAATAACAACAACATATATGTGCATCTGTGACTGAGACTGATTCACTATTTGTAAATCTGACAAAGAGGGACGCCTACTTCGTGAACCTACAGGTTTCTCACCTAAAATGTAGCATGTGATGTCAAGCTGAGAACCAGAAATAGGGTCAGTACGCTTCAAACTAAGTGCTTGTCGAATTGTCTGAGGATACATCCAATGCGTTTTCATTTTAAAAAAGGCGTTTTAAAATCCTTAAACCAACAATTCAACAAGCACGGTCACTTCACACAGCGATAAGCTAGAAGTCGCGCAGGTGAGAAAATAGCCAGGACTGGATTTTCTCTTTCAAGCTATCTTTTCTCATTCTTCACACAACTACTTCCATGCAACACTGTGAAAGCCTTTGTCCCACAGTGTGTACCGTTTTCCCCAGTTGTGAAATTTACTGTGTGAAGAATACAGAGACAGACAGGAGACACTGGATTCTTGGCGAGAGATCAGGAAGGCAATGTAATATAGCCGAGAGGAGGCAATGAAGACAGGCTTGAGTATAGTCTTCGCACAGGTGTAAAGCTGTGAAGGTGTCAGCTTTTCACAATACCAAGTTTGCTCCAAGCATGTGTCAGTCCTCTTTTGTTTCTTCTGGTACATAAAGTGACAATGAGTCAGTTTTGGCATTTCAAGCTGAAACCAATCATGTCTCTAACCTTTAACTGCAGCTTAACTCAAATCACAGGTGATAAGAAAACACTTACTCTGAGGTAAAGCTCTTAATCTCAAATTTTAATGTTGCTGTAACAACTACGTGAATTATTTTGTTTAGTTTATCAGCCTATGCGTGTCATTTCAAAATGACATAATCCATGTCCTCAGGCCACTTGTCCAGCTGATTTAATTTAGCTCCAGAATGATATATGTCCATTTTTTTTTTTTTTGGTATCCTGGGATTGATCGACCGAGTTATAGCCTAGTGCTAAGGGTGCACTCTGTTTTGAGATAACACCATCTCAAATCACCTATAATCTGCGAGAAAGTGTCACAGACTTTGTTCCAGTGAAATTACATAACAGTTTTGACTAGTGAAGAACTAGAGCTCAGGGAATTTCCCTCATCCAGCAACTGGTGTGTGGAACCTGCGTTGGAGTTGTTTTGTCATCCTGCTGTCTCTAATGTCAAATTTGAACTTTCATGCTCGACTTTTATATTTACTCACTTCGGAAGCTTGTGAGAGATGTTTTAGTGAAATATTTCTCACGTCATCTCTACCTCTGTTATCACTTCTCCCTCTCTCCACTGCTGTCCATCCATCTTTCAAAAAGAAGGGACAAATGGAGGTACAGAGCGAAGGAGAGAGGAATGTCATTTTAAGTTAAGTCATCCACATGAAGGGAAGAATACAGAAAGCAAGTCAGAGAGAAGTAGAGTTAATGATTTATGCTGTCATTCATGTGACTGCGCTGAAACAGCCTCTGTCTGACGATGCATTCAGTGCGACTAGATCGCTCCATCCGCTCATTTCATCCGGTTGAGTGGACTTATAATGCTCCCCCGCCCTCTCCTGCTCACCACCTTCTTTTTTTTTTTTTTTTTTTTTTTAAGACTAAAGCAAAGGACAGCAGGCAGAAAATGAGGTTGATGCTAAGTGACAAGACCACTGAGGTTTAGAGAACGTGACCATTTAGTCACATTTTTAAAGTCAGAATCCTGTTGTGCCACCAATAATTTCATTTGCACCAGAGAGAAAACACACACACACACACACGGCAAAGGCTCGGGAGTGCACAATTATTCATAAGATAACAAGGACGTGCACAGTTCAGCTAAAGTGCAAAGAGGAGGCGAGTGAATGATGACATACGCAGCCACAGCAGATATTGTACCGTGAGTGTGTGAATGCTTGAACAAGTGAATTAATGAATCAGTGAGTGTGAATCCAAAACACCAGAGCACGTATGCGGTGCATTTTCCCAAGCTGTCTAAGAATGATGGATAATTCCAATACATAAGCTCGTCTATTTTTGATTGGCAGAGCTGATTGAATTCCATTTAGAGCCGCTGTCATCCTGTCCTCATTTCAAACTCGCACATTTCCCCCAGCGAGTAATCAAGCCCTTTGAAAACTGTTTCATGAAAGAAATTCGGCCAGACCGATCCCACACCACTCACAGCAACAATACACTATGAATGTGTTTCACTGGAATGGGCCTCACACAGCCAGTGTCCCCATAACTGGAATAAACATATACTTAATAATGATACAGTTAAATATTTAATGTAGCTCAGGTCAGTAATCCATCTTACAATGATATACAGGGTCCGTTCACCGAAAGCCAAACAACAAAATGAATTTAAAAAACGGAGACTTCTGCCTTCAACTTGGTTTGATGCATAAAAAAATAAGTAAAAAAATTTTCTGTTGGGTTGTAACTAATGAATATTGATTAATTAATTAATTAATTAATATGTTTTAATATATCAATTATTTTTTCAATCAATAATTTTTATCAATTGTTTGGTTGCTGTAATGCAAAAGAAATGTTTTTTAATGTGCTCAAACAACACTCCAAAACCAAAGACATTTAAGTTAGAATGATAAGAATTAGAGGAAAGTTTTATCTTTCAGAAACTGGAACCAAGCAATGTTAGGCATTTTTTAATGGTGACAAACGTTTCTGGCAGCGGACTTACTCATTCATCAACTAGCATTTCAGCATTACTCAGCAGCTGCTTTCCTTTGAAAAACAATGACCTGGTTACTCAGGGTAGTGCACTGACATCACTGCCAACAATATTCACTATATTTATATATTTTTTTTAGCAGGTCTCACAGGTGTGAAGCAGTTAAGTGCTACACTTAAAACAGTGTCACTGAAACACTTCACCATTAGGTAATAGGTAATTATATGGGTAACACTTTACATTAAGGTACACATATCCACCATTAACTAGTTGCTTATTATCAAGCATATTAGTAGAATATTGGCTCTTTATTATAAAGCACTCATTCCTGCCTTATTCTGCATGAACATATTCCATAACTACTAAGCTATTAATTAAGAGCTCATACCACCTTTTGAGGCCCATACTGAGCAAAGCATATTACAATCATAATTCATGTACTTACTTCCTGACTTACTATCAAAAAGCAGTAATTAGGAGGTTATTGAGGGAAAACTCTGTTAATGGCCTAGTAGTTGTAGAATATGTTCATGCAGAATACGTGCTTTGTAATGACTAATAAAGAGCCAATATGCTACTAAATCAAGTGTAACCCATATATTATATTTTGGAGGATATAAAAATATTGAAAATGGAAAATAGGGTTTATTTATTATTATTATTTAGTCACCAGCACCAAATGGATGCTATACATTTGTAGAAATGCAGACTGTGTGGTTTACTAGTGCTGATTGCAACATGCCTCACCTGGTGACCTAAAGGTCCACGACTCGTCATCATCAAAGTGTGTATCCCCAGCTGTGAACCTCTCTCCAGGGAAAAATGCGTGTGCCACGGTGCCCCCTGGCCCGTCAAAGGGATATCCATCATTGTGGTCGGCCTTAGTGAAGTCGATTTGAATGTCTGCATCACTGCTGGCCACCTCGTGGAAGTTAAGTGGCGCGATGTCGCTCCAGACCTTCAAGGCGTAGTACATCAGGGCTCGAACAGTGTCCCTGCCCAGTAAGGCCGAATCCTTAGGGAAGGTCCTCACTCTGACATAGGGAGGACAGAGAAGGAATATATTACATACAATAAGGAGAGAGAAGAGGGGATGAGAAGGAGGTGAAGGAAAGGGGGAGCTGAGAAGAGAGAGGAGTTGTCTGATGAGGAAGGTTGACAGTACTCTTGACAGAAGAACAAAGAAAGTGAAGACAAGAGAGGAAAGCTGGGCAAAATGAGGAGGAAAAGTGATGATGGATGAGAAACAACAGGAGAAGAAAGAGGTAAATTAAAGGAGGAAAGGGTAAGAGAGGTAAAATCTGTGGGAGGTGACAAGAGAAGAGGAGAAGTATGTGAAGCACAAGGGTGACACATCACAGCTGAACATGAAGACAGGGAAGAGACAAGACAGGTAAAAGAGTGGGAAAAGAAGGTGCTGAGCACAGCAGATGGAAAGAAGTGAGAAGGAAAGAGGAGGGGTTGGTGTACAGTAGATACAAACAGCAGACGAGCACGATGGTGCGCTCTGAATTGCATAAATCAGAAAAGCATAAAGGTCAACTATGTTTGCCACTGGGACAGACCTGCGTGAAAACGAAAATTTCTGTTTGCATATTTTACGCGATTCCATCGGTTTTTGTATTTCATGCTTAGGTGCTCCTGCCGCTCACTTATACGGATGATAAGTTAAGAGTACAATGTGAATTGGAAGAGATTATTTCACAAGCTTTCGGGATCAGCTCATCAGCTTTTCACTGTCTTTTCCATTTCTTATTTAATTTTCTTCCACCCTCACATCACTTTAACATCTCTTGAGCCATTTCTTTGTGACAGACGCAGCAGAAACAGGACAGGAATAAACAGGAAACCACTCAGACGTCACGCTAACTTTGTCTACCCTCTCTCCTTCTCCATTTTCTTGTTCTCGCCGTCTTTCCCCTTCTTCTATCTCCACCCATGAGTCCTTGCCTCCTCCTGCTCCTCATGCTTTTACATGATGCACTTTCCTACTTTCTCCCCACAAGAGCAATTTGTCTAAATACAAAAAGCAATTTGGCCATTGCAGGCCAGGAAATTCAATCAGTGTTCATCTGTAAGAAAGCAGGGTGCTGACTCGTCTTACCACCACAACTAGTTCACAACCTTCAAGCAATACGTTCCAAATGAACAAAGTGGGATACTGAAGGAGCAACCTTTTTCATACAAAAAATCTAAAGTGAACAAGACAGAGTAATGACAAAAAAAAAATTGTATTACTCTGTCGCTGCAATACATGAAAAACACTGAAGGAGCTTTATAGTACAGTACATTTTCAAATGACTTCCTTTCACTAACATCCTATTTATTGCATATAACATATCATGGGTGTTCAAAGTAGCATATGATGCTAGGGAGCACTCCATATACTTCACAGCTAGATTTTATTGACAATCTTGCCTGCAACAAATAAAACAAGACAGTACCGCAAGCAAGAAAGGAGCACAAACATGGATATTGATTAAACTATCGACTGTCATAGACAGATCTGAGGACTGGGATAGTGCTACAAGGCAATATATCCCACACATAAAGACTGAATTCTACAAGCACATGCAAATCTTATTGGTCTCTGAGTCTGAAAGGAGAACATATTGGACTGAAGACGGAGACTGAAATAAAATAGACAACAAACACACTCGTGCATGTACCTGCACCAAAACAAAAATGACCATCTGTCAAACAGCCCGAGTTGCTAATTTATGCATGTTTTTCATGAAAAGGGCAAAAACTGGGTGAAACAGTGAATGGAGCGATGTTCAGTAAGCAACACGTGTTCTAAACTCTGTAGGGAGAGTTGAAGGTGAGTGCGCTTACAGTGAGGTGACTTTTCAGTAAATCCTGGACAAAATGGCTTATAAATTAATTCTATATTACTCAAGGGAGCACTCTGTTTTTCTGTTGGGTTGGTGTTTTAATCCGGGTTTTTAAAATATTACATTTTTATACATTTGATGAGCGGATTTCAGCCTTTCAAATTAAAACTTCTCTCCCAGAACTGGCCAATTTGGTCAGTGGTTCTCAAACTGGGGGATGGATGGATTTCAGGGGGGACTAATGACTGGGGTGTAAAATGTGCAGCACACCTAACACTAAATGAACCTGGTTCATTAAGGAACAATAAATCTTAATAGACGTAATATGGAACTTTTCCACATTAAAATGTCTAAAAATGAATAGACTCGTTATATTATATTATAGTATAATATAGATAGTATATTTTGTTGTGTACTCGCATTATCCCAAATGTTTCCATGTATTTCAAACTTAGAGAAATCTGTAATTTTAATCATGGTAACGGTGGTTTCATTAGGTCGCCTGACCATGGCGTCATATCCCCATTGCGCATGTATCAGTGTTGTGGTTGTCTGACAGAAGTGGTCAAACTTTTTATCCATTTTAAGCTTTTAAACTTCATAGACCTAGGTTGTTGTTAGCATATTTTAACTCATATAGAGCTATGTAAGTCAGAAAGAAGGAGCAGCCAGACTGAGTTGTTAGATGAGCATGAACTGAGATCCAAGAATTATAGAATACCTGTAGTATTAAACCACACTTGTTTCCACCAGTAACCACAGGTGTCGCCAAATCAATCACAACTGAAATCTTCAGGCACCTGTTACAATATAGCTGTAACACTTGCCCCCCCCCCCCTTCCATTGCATTCACAAATCTCACTCCACAATAATAATACCACAAAAGTCTCATTATTTTTGTTCAGTTTAGACAAGCTGCAGCAGCTATGGAGCTGTCAAACTTAGTTTGTGCCAATCATGTTAAACATTTGGGTCACAAATAAGTTCAGAGACTGAGGTTCTGTCACTACAAACAATAGTGTTTATAAAAAGCCCCCTGTCATTCCCATTTCTTCTTTTGTTAAATCTGGCATCTTGAAAGCCAAGTTTCTGTCAGACAAATCATTTGTTTGACATTTGTTTCAATTCATACTTGAATTGTTTATGATTAAGGACTTTATGTTGAGCACCAGTGACTCATCCCTCTGACTGGAGATTCAACCCCACAAGTTTTTTTTTTTTGCTCTTTTACCAGCCTTGGGTCTGTGGTCATGGTGGAGGTACAGCAGTGGCTCATACTGATAGTTTCAAGGGTCCATTTTTCTTGTTTTTTTTTTTTTTTCTTTCCTGATTAATGGTGAGCTCCAAAGGCTGGGCTGTTCCGGTGTTAAGACCATCTGCATTGTTAAAAACAGATTCAGAAAAGATTCATCCAGAATTTTCTAGGGATACTGGGCTGCTCATTGCATATGACAAGCATTTCCCAGTGTGATTTGGGCTTGTTTCATTTACAATGGCCATAACAAAAGACCACAGAGTGTGAGGTGCCATCAGCTCGGTGACATGGGAGTAAAGAAGGATTGTTTGTTCAGTACTCTCATCACTGAGACTGGCTCCGTGGACTCATGACAACCCTGACAACAGAGGTTTGAAAGTTAATGCTTTTCCTCCACAAACAACTCGAGTTGTAATTCAGGTGAGCAAGGCCAGATGGCTGTGTGACACCTACTATTTCATTTCAGAGGAACTCACTGTACATGTTCAGTCACCAGAATAAAAAAAAAAAAAACACAGGGAGAGAATGAACAAGAAATTTTGTAGCCAAAAAGCAGATAATGGAGGAGGAGGAAAGAGAGACAAAATTAGTTGGAAAACAGAGGCCTAACAGCAGAGAGGGTGAGGAAAAAGAGGGCCAAAAAGGCAGAAACACAGGCACTCTGCTGTTTGAGAAATATTTCTGACATCTCCCTATGGCTTCATCTTCCGCAGTTGTAAGTGTAGTCAGAATCAAGCAGTTTGTTCTCCGTAAGAATGACTAGTTCCTTAAGTTCCAGCGCTTCTCCGAGCTACTACACTCAGAGGGATCAGTGATCACACAGACACATTTCCATCTCTGACAGAGTATCTGATGTCTCCTTTTCCTTACCCGCCAAAAATGTTCCTCATTACAAAAAAGGTTTTTTAAAATGGCTTCTGTTGCAGACTTGTAAGGCAGGCAGTACAGGAGGTTGAGCATGAGAGAATGAGAGAGACGGGGAGAGAAAGAGACTGTCCCCTTTATGCTGATGATGGATAGGTGTACGTGGCAGAGGGCAAAATTCAGGGTTTAAAAAAGTAACACTTTGTGAGTGCTCTTTCCTTAATAGGCAGTTTTATCAACTTAGCACATAATGTTGAATTGCTCATCAGACCTGACAATAAAAAAACAAAACAATGTATTTAAGACTTAACTGCCTTTGGCTTTAGCTGCCTTTTTAGATAAATACCATGATTACTCATTTTTCACCTGTAAGTCAAAACAAAATAAATGTTTTTCCTTGAACACTGCAAAAGAGGGTATGTCTTTTACTTTTCAATTCTAAGTGGTGTCTTCAGAGGTTCCTGTCACACTACACAGCCCAAACAAACCAGAACACCAGCCCCTCTACAAATAGGATATGTTTCGCTACATAATATCTGTCTATATGAGGAACTATGTTTTTTTTTCTCCATTTTTTTAAACCTAATTTTATTCATTTTTTCTTCAGTCACTGTACATGCTGTTTTTAGTGGTTTTTGCACTGTATCAAATGCTCTACTGTTGTTTGCTTTCGTCGTTATTTTCTTGTTCCCTTCTGTCTTTTCTTGTTGTTTTTAATCTACATTATTGTTTTGTGTTATGATGTAATGTTTACTTAAGTGGACCCCAGGAGGAGTAGTTACTACCTTGGTGGTGGCTAATGGGGATCCAAATAAATAAATAAATGAATAAATGAAACATCAGTGGATGAGGCAGAAACAAAAGGTCACTCATTTCTGCTCTGGGTGTTATTTAATTCGGATTCGATTGGTTGATATGGCCAAGAAGTGAAATTGGGATATACACTGGTCTATATATGGTCAATCTCAACAAACAACAACAATGACATCAATAACCTGGTGACACTGGAAAATTTGGCGGCTAAGTTTTGCTGCTTTTTAGCTCCTATCCCACGGTTTGTTGTGCTGCTACTTTTAGTTTG